GAAACATTTGGTGCCGGATTATCAGATGTACCGAACCATTAGATGCCGGATTATGTCATTTTTATTGTAACCAAAAAAAGAAATTTGGAGACAACGAAAATGAGTGAAGTTGAGAAAAAAATGCTGATAACACCTTGCAGAAATTATTTATATGTCGTAGAAGCATATTTTACTGAATACAGACCAAAAGTACTACAAATTATTTACTTGTAGATAACTGCATTAATTAAGTAATTTTGCAGATTTATTTCAAGAATGCAAATTTATGTAATATTGGGCATTCTGTACGTTATGTAATATTGCATATATTTTTATGTAAGAATGCACATTATGTAATAATGCACCACATTTATTTCATTCAAGAATTTTTGCTTTTTTACTCTAAAATTATATGAACATATAATTACGGCTTTTGGAAAATTAAAGCGAGACTGTTAATTTTCCTGAACTCCAACATTAGGCTCTAACTGATTTCGCGCTTGGACACCTCTGATATGGATATTTATCATCTCAAAATAGGAATTTTTTACAACAGTGAAAATCAGACTTGAAAACGACTCATTTCTAATTCTTTAGTTTACTTAATTTCATAATGATAAAAGATTGATGTTACTGGAACTGTCGTTATGTTACTTTTCACGTACTTACCACTATTCAATTTGAATTCATTCAATTAAATAAAACAGCGTAACCCTGAAAGTATTACGTTAATTTCTGACAGTTGTTTGTTTACGAATCCCCATGGACTGCCGCTTGAACCGGAATCCACTTCCCCTTCTCTTCCGATGGCCTCCGCCAGTTCCATACTTGTTTCCGCTTCTCCCACTGTTTGGTTGAATTCGGAATCAAGGTAATTATTTCGCCTTTCAAGGAAAAGATCAGGCGAGAAGGGCGGAGGGCGCACATATTTTTTGATTTATGAAAAGAGAAAGTATAAAAGAAATGCCGATTAGCATTATTTGATGGAATTTCTGATGGTCGCGAATGGGTCGTCAAGAACGTTTCTGCAGCATTTTGTAATGCTTTAGGAAGTTTGCTTGGCTATTAATAATTATTATTAGTGCAGTAATAATAATAATAAATTGGAATCATAGAGCATTAGAATATAGTCTAGCGCAATGATCCGGTGAAATAACTAGAACAACAATTTTGTTTCGTGGATCTTCTAAAACTGAAATTCTGTTTTGTGGACTCTCTAAAATTGTAATTTGGTTTTGTAGAATCCTTGAAAATAGTATTTTTGAAGATCTTCTCTTGATCTTGTTTTGTTGAACCCTTGAAGATTTTTTTTTTTTTTTTTTTGGTACTCGTAAAGTTGCAGTTTCGTTTTTATGGAATTCCTGAAACTAGGTGTATTTGCAAAGACCCTAAAACTGTAATTTTGTTTCATAGAACCTTTGAAACTAGTATTTTTGGTGAAAACCTTGAAAGAAACACTAGTATTTTTGTAGGACTTCTAAAACTATAATTTTATTTTGTGAAATCTGTAAAATTATTTTTTTATTTTATTTATTTATTTATTTATTTATTTTTTTTTGGGGGGGGGAGACCTCTAAAACTGTTACTTTTTGTGGAATCCTTGAAACTAATATTTTTGTGGAATCCGTAAAACTTGTATGTTTGTGGAACCACTAAAGCTTTAATTTTGTTTTATGGAACCTTTAAAACTAATATTTTTGATGGAACCCTTAAAACTAATTTTTGTGGAACCCTTTAAACTATAATTTCCTTAATAAAATGTAAAATATAGCAAAGTTTTTTTTTCTTATATAAAATATAACAAAGATGGGCGCGTTTTATGCGGAAAATAAAACGAAAATTATGATTTCATCTCAACTCGACCCATAAGTGCAAATTGTTTGCTGCATATAGTTTTAGGTAAAAATAATAAAGTTATTTAATTTTAAATTATTTAATCAATCAGTTTCGGATTTTTCATTCTGACTTCTAAGTTGTCTCTAATTCTAACGTTTCTCGGAACACATTTTGATAATCCAAGATCTGATAAATCCAAGAGTTTATTCTATACTTAAAAAACAATGCTAGTACTACTCTTTTATGAAGATGTGTTTCCTCTATAGTCTACGAGGTTGCTTAAGTTCTTCAATTATCCAATTATCGGTTACTTTTACAGTCTTTAGAAATTTAATAGTTCTTTTCAGGAACTTAAATTTAAAATGTAATAACATTCTGCAAGCTAATTCAGTTATTGTATCTAATAACTCTACATTTTTGTATTATAGAAGAGTACAATATTATCTTTCGGTAAATAACAACAAGAATTGAAAATAAAATAACTCGAAAAAGTAATTTTTTGTTGTTTTATTCCAACATAGTTCCATGTGCATGCGTTTATCCTTATTTCATAAAGAGAATATTGATTAATAACTCAAAGCGATGCCATGCATTTACTTTACTTGATCGTTTGCATACGAGGCTTTCAAAAATATTTCTTGCATTGCCATAGCTATAATTTCTTTTTTAGCAGGGTAAGAAATTCTCCTAGTGAGAACAGCAACACCGTCTTGGAGCTGTTAATAATAATAATGAAATAAATAACGTAATAAAATGTATAGGCGAAAAGTACGCCATTGCAGTATTTCATAAATGCAAATAAAATTTAAACTTACACAGAATTTGGTTTTATACAAAAGCTGTATGTATTTGCAGGTAGACTGATAGAAATGCTTATTTTTCCATGGGAAAAAATATTATTTATCATATGTTGTGCAATTTGTTATTTAAACACATATCTAATGTGAATTTACGGGGAATGGGGGGGGGGGAAGAATAACCCTTTTGGCTTATTGAAGCTCGGCTGTAATTCTAGCGCTTATGTATCTTTAAGAAAAGACAGATTGTTAAACTCGAAATTTTACGCAGTTTGCAGTTATTGATATATGCATATAAAATCATCTTTTATATCTTTTCATCCAAGAAACTACTTGAACGCTTACGTCAAGTTATCTTGCTACGTAATACGCATGATAAATATGGGCGTTAATCACGAATCGTAGGTTCGTTTACTCAGGTTTCACTTTTTTCCTCAACTGGCAACGGTATTTTCATCCGCAAACTACTACGTAATATCCTAGTAGTTCTGACGTCACAGACAGAATGGCTGGAATTCAGGTGCGGCTGGTTTTGTGCCTGTAGTCCATTGACCCACTTTACTATCAAATTTCAGTTTTCAAAAATAAATAAATAAATAAAATTAAAAATGTCCAATTCGGCCGCAGTTTTCGCAAAGCTGCATATCACAGTCAGGTGAAATAATATTTATTTTTGAAATGCTGGAAGAAGTAGAATTATAAATAAATTGTATATATTGATTGCCTGAATATCTTCATAACACTAACCTTAATTCTTGGGAATTTAGCATGGCCATTTGAAATATTATTTTATGAAGGTGGATTTTAAATTCGTTACGACAAAATCTTTTTTTTTTTTTTTTTTTTTCACTGATACAGAATTCCAAAAGATATTTGCTTTTCATCATTTGAGACATGAATTTTTTATCATATTTGTTTATAATTTAAAGTTACTTTTAATAATATTTCGTATAGTGAGGCTGTGTACATCTTCCGTAGGTCCATAAAATTAACAATAACAACTTAAAAAAATCTGATGTGTACACCACATGACTTCCTTGTACGGAATAATAAATTATACGCATTTTTTCTTGCATTTCATTTAAACTTATTGGATTGAATTAAATCTACTTCGCCGACAGCGCATAAACCACAATAGAATAAATGCATTCTTTAAAATTCACTCTATTTGTTTAACGTAGCGACACTCTGGCACTAGTTTCACTTAACAGTATTATATTTCATTCATATTATAACTCAGAATGCACAAAATGTATATCATTTAAAGAATTATTTAATCGTTGCCACATGTTCTTTTCAAATACTATAATAAAGCTAGAACGATGCAAAAAAGAAGTTAAGCAAACAAAACAACAACAACAACAAAAAAAAAAAAAAAAAAAAAAAAAAAAAAAAAAAAAAAACAGTTTTTCACAGACGATTGAGTATTTCTCATTCAATTAATTCAGTTTTCACTTCGCGAGAAGGCAAAAATACATAAAAACTCAAAATATCTATATTAAAAATTACGAAGTAAATATCAAACACTTATTTCCTCGAAAAAATTCCAGAAAGAATTAAGCATGATTTAATTGGCAATAATAAATTAATGCGTTATCTTTGTCGTTGCGAAGCTACGTTTCTCTAGATTGGCAACAAATCCACTAGTCTCCTGTTTCAAATGTAAACATCAATGCCCGCCATTAAAAACAGGCTTAGCGGCAATTAAACAACTTTAAAATTGCTGATAATTCTAAAAATATTGCACACAGATTTACTAAAGGCATAAAATCCTTAACCAGAAGATAAAAACAACATAATTTAATCATTTTTAAAGCAAAAAATGTACAATTTACAAACATATAATAGTAAAGAAACTGAGATCGCTGAGCCGGGTAACAGAGTGGATATATATATAAATATATTTATATACGTTTGGCGTGGCCGATTGCAACCAAAATACGAGGTGCACATCTACATGTTATAGCACTCCTATATACAAAATTTCAACGTTCTGAGGCTACTCGTTTTTGAGTTATGCGAGATACGTACGTACGCACGTACGTACATCCGTACGTACATACGTTCGTACAGACGCCACGAAACATTCTCTTCAGAATTAATTTTAAAGCAGTTTTATAATTTTTTTGAAGGAAAAGAGTATTTTATTCTGTCCTTACGTACAGATATCAGGCAAAAACATCGTTAAATTTCATTCGATAGCGGTCAAAATGGATATTTTCGTTGAAATATGCTGCCTGAAACTTTTCGCGATTAAATACTTCCTTTTTACTTCGTACAAGGAAGTAAAAAGATAATAGAATTACTAGACTAATGATAACACTAGTATTTCTATTATCTTTTGCAATGATCATACTTAATAATAATACACAATTTTTTTCTTTGTAGTGCGCCGGCTGTGGAATTATTGGATGCATGTTGTGGATACTCGCCACATCCCCTGCTCTCAGGGATTTTTTCATGGGCACAACGGTAGGACTTCTATTTTACTTCTTTTGTGCATTCTATAGCTCTTAAATCGGAATCAACAAATTTTATGAAGATGGATATTTATATCTGCCTCATTCTATATCCAATAAATAAAACACACTGAATGAAAACGCATGAAAATTTCACATTTACGAATCTGTGAGTGGTATAGTACTACATTACGAAATTATGAGTGGTATAGTATTAATTACATCATGAAGTATAAGAAAGTATTTCAGAAGTATAGAAAATTCTATACTTCTGAAGTTATGAGCGGAGTGGTAGTTAATTAGCTGATAATTGCACATCGGCTTCAAATTCTAAACTTCTCATAAAAAATTTTAATTTTTTTCAAAAGATTTTTTCACACTTTTGAAATTGTGAGTGGTTGGTCATTAGCAATTAAATTATGATTGCAGTTGACGTAAAAATTTAAATCTTTAACAAAGAACTGAAATTTGAAATTGAAAGAAATTGAATTGAAAGGAAAAAAATTCATATTTCTGAAATTATGATTAGTATACTAATTAATTACATCATTATTATTGCAAATAGCAGTAAAATTTCAGATTAAAAAATTATTTTTAAATTTTTAGGGAATTTATAAAATTAAAAATGTAAATATCTTTAGTAGTTCCATCTTTAATGACTATTTAGATATTAAACTATTTTCTTCACATTAAAATATGACATTAAAGATTTATTGATATTTAAACATGAACATTAAAACGTTTTCTTGTTTACAGGTTTAGCTACATGCAAAAGAAAAATAACGAAGCAAAATTCTGTTGCACTTGTATAAAGTAATTTTACAATTTGTAAATTAGGAAGTCATTCAGTAGTTCGTGATGATATTTTTTTTAATATAGAAAATATTCTTTTAAAAAACATAATTTCTTGGCATTTATATGTAATTTTTCAAAAGATTATTTCACACATATTTAGATTTATACTTTACGAAATATAGATTTCAGTTCATGACTTTTAATTCAGGTATTTTTATTAATATATTTTATACGTAAATATATATTTTATGGAAACGTCTAATTATAGATGGTAAGAAAATTTTCATTTTTATAAAAAGATGCGTCATCTTTTCATGAAGATTTTCCGTCAGCTATTTCTTGTATTATTAACAAGTTTATAGAAGTATAATTTTGATAATAATAAATGACTGAAAATTAAGATAACATAGAAAAAGAGCGAGTTTTTTTAAAAAAAATTATATGCATACACACAAAGAAATCGATATATTTTTTGGAATGCGTTTCTTTTTTTTTTTTATTTTATTATTATTATTATCATTTATTATCCCAAAGGGCGTTAGTCCAGAATGGCTATTATTTTCGTTTTGGCATTTTGAGTCGAAAACTTTAAATGTCCGTTTCACTTTTCCAATTGTTGCTACCAAATATTATCGCCCTGTGTTATATTTAAGGAAATTAATAATGAAGAATCTGCTTAAATGTATGTATGCATCTCGCAATGTGATAATACAACGGTACCTAGAGCCATCAAATTTTGATTAACGTTATCCTCAACCGAATATGGACATGTAGAAGCCCTACTTTGGAATTTGTTTTATTATCGCTTTAATATTTTGTAACACTTTAACGAATTTTTGGTTAAGAAACTCAACGATTTCAATGCGAACAATGGCAATACTGTACGGGGGAAAAAAAAATTTTTTTTAATCTTCAGCGCGCGAGACTGTGTATCGGAAATTATAAAGATATGATTTTAAATTTATTTTGCGATGTTACTATGGAATTCAAATTTATGGCTTAGGTGCGAAGAACATGATAATTTAATAAATAAAGGTAACACACAAAACCTTAAAAAGACGTCCCTTTGGGCATAATATAAAATCTGAAAGCTTTAAGATTTTTTTGGGTTTTGTTTTAGTTTAATTAAGAATTACATTTTAATATCTAATTACAATTTATTATTTTATACTTTATTAATGAATAAATTAACAACAACAATAATAACAATAAGTGTTTTGCAAACTGTTATAGGACACCGAATTTTTGTTCTCCATTTAAATTTTCAGCATGCTCCGATGATATGTGAGTTCCTTGATTTACGGTATGTAATGCTATTCATCATGAAATTTTTGTGGAGCTTGAAAATACTTGGTTTTTTTTTAATCCCTACTTAGCGTTTAAATAGTAGGAACTGCAGCTAGAAAAATAGATTCGAGTGACACATTAGAAACGAAGGAAGCAGTGTCGCCATCTGCTGTTAACAATTTATATTACTCTCCTGTAGCCGAGTACTTTCAGTAGTGTCGCCATCTACTGGGATAATTACAAGTTATCAGATTAAAATGGTTTATTTAACTATTGTTCCCATTTTTTGCTAACTGTTTTTATTGGAAAAACTGAAAGAGGCAGCCATTCTAAATTTATAGCTGCGTAATTTATTTATTTAACTGTTGTTTTTTTCTTTTAGATATTTTCATACGTTGTCATGGGTGTAGGAGGTCTTTTGTTTTTAAACGGTAAGTATATTTATTAAAATTAATGCTAATAATGTATCTGTAATTTAAATTCTTTTGTGAAAAAGAGAGAGCAAATATGTAAAATTATATAATATACATGAAACTGCTATAAACAATATATGCAGTGTATATATTATTTATGACAATCATTGGTATGCATAAAGGATATACTCTTAAAAATATACTCTTATCAAATTACTGTTTTAAACAATAATATGGAATCGCTACAAATCTTGCATGCACATGAAACTGCTTCCTAAATATTTTACGTAATTAATGAAAGATGCTTTTTGAAGTTATAGATGTTATTATAATTTCATACGAGTACTCTTTCCATATCTATGTAGTCGTCACATTAGGCAGTTTGCCACATAACATCTATAACCCATGTGGCATGACAAATGGTAATTTCTTGTTGGCGTTGCCTTTTTACATTCCATGAGCTCAGCTTTAAAATTAAAATTACTCAAGTATACTTTAAAATATATATTACTCAAGTAATATATAAGTACTTCTTCATAGTTAAGTTCTTAATTGTTCAAGTAATTACAACTTGTATTTGGATTTGCAACTTCAAGACTCACACGGCATAATTTCTCTTAGTAAGGAAACTAGAAGAGTATGTTAGAAGTCTTAGAAGAATGTATAATGAAACAGTATTAGTGCATAACAATTAATAATTTCATTATTAAAATATGTATTTATAATTATTTAAAATCAAATTAGAGAAAACTCTACTATTTAATGAACTGTGGCGAAAAAAGAACTTCAGTCTGGCATAGTCAGAAGTTGCGATGAAATTAAAGGGTATATTATTTTCTTAAATCCTTCTATCTTTTCGTAACGAATATATTTTACTAATGATTTTCTTATATCTTTCCTTTATGCAGAATTCCTAAAGAATCCATTATTTAGTATTATTTTGAATTTGTATGATTGGAAACAAACTTAATAGTCCCTTAAAAAATCGTTGCAGAGTCTGTCTTCTTTTAAATGCAGCATTAGTTTCATTCAAGCAAATATTCTGAGATCGTAGATATTTTCGTCTGTTTCTCTTAACAATTTTTTTCTTCATCTAGTTTTTGTTTTGTTTTGTTTTTTTCTTTACATTTCGTTAGGGGACAAAGCCCTATCGACCACCTTTATGCAACCCCTTGGGACAAGGAGGTGCAATAAATATTGATGATTTCGCGGAAACAGGAAAGATTTTGACGACAGCACAAGCAGGAGTCGCAGAGACTAAAAGACAGCCTTTGAGGCATGATGGAAACATTTTAAATTCCAGCCGATAATCATCCTGAAAGTTTCAGGGGAAAACAAAGGGATAGGATTCATCTAAGTCCATCTAAGTCCCTGGTGCATTCTCTATCAAATTTAGGAGAGTTTTCCTTTTTCCACAGTTGTAATAATCATCCTGTCTTCTGTGGTGTATCATGGACTCGGTGATAAGACTGCTAAATGACAATTGGTTCGGCCGTTGCCGATGAATGCTAGCATTAAAAGAACAATTACTTTAAACTAATATAGTTTAATTATTATTAATTTTGAGGTTCCCACGTCTCAAACCTCTAAAAAAAAAGATACAATTTCTTCTTCTTAAATTACTTTTTTTACGCACACTGGCCAATGAATTAGAAATCCAAGATCAATATTTTATTGGATCACCTTTTGCACGGACAACTGCTCTGATTCGTTTGGGTATCGAGCCTACATGCTTCTGGAGTGCATTTACGTCCAAAGAATACCATGCATTGGCTATGCAGCCTTTTAGATCTTGTAAATTAGGTGAAAGAGGAGAGTACTGTCGGATGCGTCTTTCCAACATATCCCATGCATTTTCTAAAGGGTTGAAATCCAGGCTATATGGTGGCCAGGAAGGTATTGGAAGTCAGATTGATGTTCAGGTAACCAATTTCTTATACGATGTATGGTTGCCACTTCTGGCACGATGTATAGTTGTCACTTCTGGCACGATGTATAGTTGCATTATCGTTCATGAAATATCCGTCGCCATTATGGTAAAAGAGCAACATTGCAGGGTGCACTTGACGCTGGATATCTGCCAGTATATCTAAGTATCTCATGGCTGTTTGTTTACCCTCGAGGAACACAAGGGCACCACTTCCATGCCAGCAGAACATGCCCCATACCATGATACTCCCACCAGACCCTTGCACAATACGAGTAAGGCAAGTTGGCTTTGCATAATTTACTTTATCCATGATCTGAATGTAGACAGCAGGAGACATTTGTATCCATTTTGATGCAAATATTTAAGGAGAAACTTAAAAGAATTAGAATTAAATGTCTAAAAAAAATGGGATTCTCTTCGTGGGAAAACATAAAAGCACGAAGTTTAAAACACATCATCGCCAAATTCCATCAGTGCAAAATAAGATGTAGTTTGATTCATCCGACCATATTACCCGTTTCCAATCCTCAGATGTCCAGTGTCTTTTTTCCCGACACCACTGCAAACGAATTCTTGCATGTCGGGCAGAAATGAGTGGTTTTCTCACAGGTATTCCTATAATCTTCAACTTTCTGCGCATGGTTCAAGTTGATATCTGTTGTGAAGAGCCGTGGTTGACGATCTGTGTCAGTTTAAGCACAGTAGAGTCCCTTTCCTGCCGTATAATTCGTTGGAGACGACACCGATCACTCTGTTGGAACACTGTGCTGGCACCGCAGTTACCTCTTCTAGAGAAGGACTGTGGGTTCTAATTCCAAATTTTGAAAACCTTTGATATGGCTGCTTTTGAGAACCCGGTGATATTTGCTGTCTTCGAAATCGAGGCCCTTGCTAAACGAGCGCCAACAATAAGCCCTCTTTCAAATGGTCAAAGATCTGTCGTTTTTCCCATTTTACTTCATTCATCATGGATATGCACTCTTACACCTTACTTATATACTAGCATTCTAACCACGTGTTACCTACGTCATAAAAAATTGCGTACTTCATCCCTAGCACGCATTCAAATGAAAATCTCAAAGGTTGCTAATTTATTGCCCAGTGTGTGTATAAGTAAGTAATAAAATGTAGAGACGGCAGAGACATTTTTCTGTAAAAGTCACTTTCGCTCAAGTTATGTCAAAAATGAGTTTTATGTGAAATCGTAAAACTAATTAGTATATCAATGAATTAATATCTAAATAATTTTTAATAACTTTTCCAAGTTTGCTAACTTTCAGTTTACGGTTCCTCGGAAAATATTCATCGTTTGATTTCAAATATGTATTATTTATGTTTATATTTTTAGGTCTGCTGGGTTGGATCGGCTCATATAGGAGAGGAAATTGTGTCATGAAACTGGTAAAACTATTTATTTAGATTAATGTCATATTTATTTTGCCATGCCATGTATTTAAGTGATTGTACAAAGTTCGTAATAGTGTAAAATATGTGTATAGTTATTTATACAGGTATAGTATAATATTTATAGAGTAAAAGACTTCCAGGGTTTTATTTCTTTAAATAATAGTCCTAGATGTGCACTTCTTATTATAAATTTTCACAAATTAAAATAGGTTTATGGAAGCATAGGTGCAAGACTGTGACGAAATGCTTTCGTAAATGTAAAACTTATTGTACATCTTCCGTGCAGTAAAACTTCTAATTAGCTCCAATATCCTTTAAAGAATTATCAATGAATACACTCCTGTTTTTGAAAATTGCAAAGTATCTTCAGCTCCTTGGAAACGAGATTGCCCATCGTATCTCAACGATGCCCATTTCATCATACTTAGCGAGAGATCGTCCAGTATGATGCTTGCTAATGTGTTTCGGAAAATGGCATTCACCCATTAGTGTCCAACTTGTACTCTACCATTGCTGTACTCCAGATTTTAACAGGATTTGTCGGCTGATCTGAGGCCAATCTGCACAGCCAAGAACTGTGTTGAATCTATTGTAGCCGCAGATGTCGATAATTTTGCAGCAGGGAAATCTTGCGCAGTGCAATCCACACTGCAACAAACTGTGGTGAGTTGTTGAAGCTGACACATGGAGGTAGGTCTTACTTCCTACCTCCATGAGCTGACAATGGTACATTTTTAGCAATGCTTCCAAGTGCCAACTATCGCGATAAAGCTTCACTGTCCTTCACTGTCACGAGGATGAAGTGAGTGTCATTCTGAGTTGACATAACATTTCTTAGTCCAGCGTCAAGTTTGCGACTTAACACTGACGAGATATCAGGACCAATACACCTGTTTCACTCTAAAAAAATCCTCCTGTCTCTCAGATCGATCCTTTGCCACCATTACAGAGGAATTAAATGTCTTGCAATGGATCCTTATGAGGTTGTAGTGACTTCGCGTGAAACAGTTACAGCTGGCAGATTAAAAAAACTCTAATTTTTAACGTTATACACCCTATTAGGCTACAACCCTCTATATGGGCAACAGAACAGCTGCTCAGCATAAGCATGCACTGTCATTCTGAAATTCTAATCATTTGCATATGCATAATATACCCAGTTTAAGTTTCACTTTATTCGTACGATTACTTCATGGTGTTACAACTTTCACAAACAGTAGTGTACTTTCAAACGACCACATACAATTATATTACCGAGCACTCCTTCACCAGAGATAGAACATTACTCCCCAGAAAATATGTCACTAGATTGTGTTGTATAAAGATTTAGTTGTATTTAATATTATTTTTCTATATTCCATGCATTCAGAGACATTTTATTTGCCACATTTTTTTTTTTTTTTGTAATTTTTTTTTTTTTTTTACTTACCAAGATTAATCTTTTACATTTTTACACTTGTTCGTAGATACAAATGCGTAAATGTAGTAAATGTATTCTTCTAAATTTATATGAAATACTATTTCTAGCTGATCACCTCCTGATAATTTCAGCAAGAAATAGATATTAAAACTGCATCAGTGAATTTTCATAATTTCTGATGCATTTAATTTGCTTGTGTATATACAGTTTTGATTTAAGTATTTACAGCAAACTTTCAATCTTAACCAAAGGTTGTGGACAACTCTACTTCACAGTATAATACAATTTTTAGTTTATAATTTTTAATTCACTATATTTTAATTTGAAAATTTTAAATTGCCTAAAGTTCCGTTCTGGATGTTTACATGAAGAATGATTGAAACCATATTCTTTTGTTAGCTATATTAATCTGGCAATTTTTTGTTTTTGTGCAAATCGCTGAGAGATTTTATATCAAAGAAACTTATATCGTGGATTTGTTTTGTAAAATAGCCGCAGTACACCACAAACATAACATCCATTCCAGAACGTGGAGGGAATTGAGCATCATTTAAGAATTTGCAAATCACTTAACATTTTAATTATTTTTAAAATCTTAAAAAAGAAAGTACTGTTGTTTTTACAAAGCGAATCTTGACAAAATAGAAGATGTTGCCATGCCATTTAGAGCAAATATTTGCTGTAAGCTTCATATTCGAACGATCCAGGAAAAAAAAGGGGGGGAGAGAAACGAGTGCAGATATATGCCTTGAGTAATTTTCTTTTTATAAGAAATAATATAAAACAATATTTTTTAACGTCGTATTTTAAAAATATGTTTATACAATCTATACCCTGAATTTTTTGGAAAAATTATTTGGTTTAAAAAATTGGCATTCTTAAACTATCTTAATTATTTGGCTTGAAAAAATAGAAACTGAGTAAGAAAACCAAATAACGATTTTTTCAACTGATTTTCAGTTTTTGAAAATTTAAAATTAAGGTAAAATAAGTCATCTTTAATGTTATTTTTTTTTTAGATATTAGACTACGAGTTGAAACTTTTAGATTGCAATTTGTGTTATTTATTTTTTTATTCTAGTTCCTGCTGATAGCAGTATTGACAGTTGCTGCCGAGGTCGGCGGCATTGTTGCCTTTAACATCTTGAATTTAAAGGTAAGGCCCTGCTCCTTTTTCACTGGTAATCCAGAATTTGTTGAGTGTCAAATAATTTTATCACTGTCTTGCTTTTCTTTGTAGATGACTGATGTTCTTGAAAATGGTTGGAAAGAGGTCAACGAAAATACCAGAAATATCGTCCAAGATCAGGTAAACGATTATCAAGAATAGTGAATTTGGTTAATTTGTCAGGGTAATATTATAAGCATATTAGAATGTAAAGACTATTACATATTTCGGAGCAGGAAACATAAAAAATTCAATTGTGCCCTCGCCGGGATTCGAACCCCGGATCTTCCAATTCCTAGCTGCTCACGCTGGCTAATTAAGCCGCCAGCGCACCCAAGGGAGAGATGCAGTACTTACTTATATTTACCCTTTCACTTTAAAAGATGATTAGAGAAAGGCACCAAATCCATTCTTCTAAATCCAGGTGGTGAAAAGTTATCGACCACGCGGCCCCACTGTACAGGCAGTAGGTTTATTTTAAGGCCAAGAATCCTGAGAAAATTATGCATTCGCCAAGATTCGAACCATAGATTTTCTAATTGAAGGCTAGGTGATCTACTAGTTACACTGCGATAGCAGGCAGAAAGGGTTAAGGTTGCTATAATTCCTTATTAAGATCTCCTTTTCCGTTGCCTGAGCTACCCACATTTAAGGTCGAGATTGTGAACCAGGAGTCCTTTCGCTTTAATATTTAACACAGCTTCTGAAAGACTTCAAAATGTTCTTCGGAATGATTTCATTGAAAACTATTGTTTATGTATCTTCCGTGAAGTTAACGCTGAGCATTTTTCTCTTTTTATATACGATGTGCAAGTATAAAATAATAAATGCGAAAAAGATATATTTATTTCCTTCATTTCAATTTTGTGCACTAATTTATATACTTCATCGTGTATTACATTCATTTAATTTTATATATTCAACCTTTATATTCAAACTTCAGAATGCTGCATTGAATGCATTTATAAGAATTCAATGTATCATTCAGAATGCATTAATTTAATCGATATAATACTTAATATTTAGTTAATGAAGTTTTGAAATGATTCTTTATCTGTTCGAGCTTCAGTGTTCGATAAAAAGTGAGGGCGCCGCTGGATCGCTTTTTATGGCTACAGAGAAACGAAGTTTTTTTGGGGGCCGGGTGGTTTGTGGAAGAACAACGTTCAACGTTCCTCTATATCTTGTCTTTGAGCAGCTGAGCGGTTAAGGAGACATAGTATCTTTCCTACCTTTATGAAAGACGTCACAGTAGAGTATTAATCTGCTTGTTTATATAAAATTACTTTTAAAATAGTCATTTTACTCAAAACAATTTTGCTGAAGATTTGTTTTCTACATTCTTTAAATTATACTGCATAAAATTGTGCTTGGAATTTTGAATACTTCTATTGTTAGATTTAATAAAAAATTTTTGCTGATGGATAATGAAAAAATCTGATGTGTACACCACATGACTTCCTTGTACGGAATAATTAAATTATACGCATTTTTTTTGCATTTCATTTAAACTTAGATTGATTGAATTAAAAATACTTCGCCGACAGCGCATAACCACAATAGAAAAATGCATTCTTTAAAATTCACTTTGTTTACCAATAGCGACACTCTGGCGCTAGGTTTACGTAACAGTATTATGTTTCGTTCATATTATAACTCAGAATGCACAAAATTTATATCATTTAAAGAATTATCTATCCTATTGTTGCCACATGTTTCTATTCAAATACTATAATAAAGCTCAGAACTATGTATAAAAGAAAATTAAGCAAACAAAACGAAAAAGAAACAGTTTTTTTACAGCGATTGAGTATTTCTCATTCAATTAATTCAGTTTTCACTTCGCGACAAGGCAAAATACATAAAAACTCAAAATATCTGTATTAAAAATTACGAAGTAAATTTTAAACGCTTATTTCCTCGAAAAAATTCCAGAAGGATTAAGAGATTTAAATAATAAATGAAGGCGTTTTTGTTGTTGCGAAGCTAAGTTTCTTAGTTGGCAAAATCCGCTACTCCTGTTTTAAATGTAAAAAGAGCAATGGCCCGCCATCAAATTGGCTAGCGGCACTTAAACAATTTTAAAATTGATATTCTAAAAATATTGCATACAGATTTCTAAAGGCCCATACCCCGTCCCGGAGATAAAAACAACATAATTCAATGATTTTAAAGCAAAAAATGTCCAATTTACAACATCGATTAAAGAAACTGAGATCACTGAGCCGGTAACAGAGTGGATATATTTATAAATATTTAACGTTGGCGCGGCTATTGAACCAAAATACGAGTGCACTCTCCTGTTAAGTAGTCTTAATACAAAATTCAACGTTCTGAGGTACTCGTTTTTGAGTTATGCGAATACGTACATCTTCTACAACGCCACGAAAATTCTCTTCAGAATTAATTTTAAAGCAGTTTTTAGTTTTTTTGGAGAAGAAGAGTCTTTTTTCTGTCCTACGTACAATATCACGCAAAACATCGTGAAATTGCATTCGAAAGCGGTCAAAGGGATATTTTCGTTGAAACATGCTGCTGAAGCTTTTCGCGATTACAATACTTCCTTTTACTTTGTCAAGGAGTAAAAACGAAGAGGAACTGGCTCTTCAAATATTTTTTTAGAAATAACTATATTAAAATTTTATATACAAGTTTATCAAATATGTACAATCCATGAGTAAAATATTTGAAACCTATTAATTAAAAAAATATTCTATTAATTTATTTCAATTAAAAAAACCCTTAGTTAAAAAATAATCAGCCGAAAGTTTTATTTGTGAAAATGACCAGTTTAATATCAGTTCTGTCTGAACGCCGTGCAGTATTTTAACAAACAAATAAATTAAAGCGTATCCAAAATATTTCAGGCATTCATCTTCAATTTTTTTAATGTTTTAGAAGTATGAGTTGATAAAAAGAAAAGTTATATTACGGCTTTCATTTGTGCAAAATACTGTGTACCGATATATTTTATAAGGACATAAATAAGCATTTTTTTCCATAAATAACTTAAATAATCATCTTTCGTGTCATTTTATATAATATAAAGTATTGTGATTTTTTCTAAGTGTGTGTGTGTGTGTGTGTATGTGGTTATGGCAAAGCCTCGAGGGCTATCTGCCTAAGAGGAGGGATGCCTTCGTGGAGGACTTTCTAAGGGAAACTGGCTCGTATACAACACATGGGGAAACCACCGAAAACGCCCATGCAGCCAGCCCGTTCGCGGGATTCGAACCTCGGACCGAACTACCAGTGTTCAGCGACTTTACCGCTCGGCCGCTGGTGGGCGATTTTTTCTAAGAAAGTCCATCACGGTTCCAGATGTGATTTTGATCTTCTGTGAAAGTTTTGAAGAGGTTAAGTTCAATGCCAGTGTTCATTTCTACTTTCAGAAAACTAATCACTTTCAGAGGTGAATAGTAATTCGATGTTTCGTCAAGCTGTGACACTAGCAAAAATTGCCGTTTAAAGATAATGTGGCTTTTAATTTTTGCTTTTTTGATCTACCTTAGTAATTTTTAAATAACTGAAGGTATATCTTCAAAATTCTCTCAATATACTTTAAAAAATGTCACGGCTTTTTAAATATATTTGGAACATTTCAAAGTCCATATGAACTTTACCTTGACCATTTCTAAGGTACATGTTCTCTTAAATTTGTCAGCAACTGGTAATTAATTTCGGATAAGCTTTTCAGCAGACGTGTACGGTTTTTGCAGCTATGTAAAGTTTACATAATTACTCTGAATGTAAGACAAACACGAACAAAATGATTGCACAACTAACTAATTCTTGATCGTCTGTCCATATCTTTGTTAATAAAATAAAGGGGCGGGCTTTGAAACTGACATTTTTAGTCACATGACACCTTACGTAAAAATACCCTAAAGTTGAAATTTTCCAGTTTATTAAGGGTTTCAAAACTGAGTTGTGGAGTATTCTATAGCTGAATATATTTATTGAATTGTGAATTTTAATGCATCGTGTTTGCTTTCGCGTTTCAGCTTCACTGCTGTGGATTCCAGGGGCCTCAAGATTTCTCAGGTATTACAGATCCTATCCATGAGAGTTGTTATACAAAACTCATTCCAGGCAGCTCCAATTCTACTGCCACAGAAGTGCGGAAATTAAATAGGGTAAGTAACTCATTCTATTCTCTTTCTAATGTCGTTCCTGTATTATAATAAAGCATGACCATCTTTCTCTTACATGATAAACATCTAGTATAAAAATTCCTTTTAAGTCTGGACTTTTAAAAACAAAATTATTTGGTAACGGTTTCATGTTGTTCAGAACTTTTCTTTCAGAAAAGACAGCATTTGTAAATTTTATTTGTATATTTGTACGTGCCAAAACGAAGATGCCTTTTAGTGAGGAAATATTTTTGAAATGGCGGGATGCTTGCAGCTTAATGCATTTATTGGGAATGGTCAAACCCATTCCGTCATTTAAACAGTTTTATCACCGAGAATGTTGTCTCTAGGATGCACTATAAAGGGCGACCGAATTGTATCTTCGAGAAAAGGGAAGCTTCGTCCCAGTTTTGATTTAAAACATTCTGAGGGACATTTACTAGGATCTACCACCCCCCTGTTTCCCTACTAACAACTTCTTGTTAGGACTTTCAGTTCAGGAATGTTTTAAGTGCCTTTATGCTGCAAAAAATTTATTACACTTACAAAAATCCATACCTTCTTCAGGACCTGAAGCCGGTACCAAGGCTATGGCACTTACAAAATGGCTGCATTGTGAGCATTGATTTCTAACGGGTGCTGTTTCGTAAATGTATTTCAAAATCGCACGAGACTGCTATCGCGCGCAGCTTGTTTCTGCCTCCATATGAATCCTAGCAATTAAGTGATTTCCTTGGAATCAGTTCTGAGTTCTTATTGTAACATTTTTCAGTTGTAGGTCCGTATCATATATAGTTTCATTGCTGAGAATTGCAATGCAGATATATCGTGCTCTAACTGGCCCGAAGTTGATGGTGTAGTAAAAAAAGAAATCACACCCGATCTTCCTTGTAGAAAGAAGAGGGTGGAGATTAACAATAATAGAAAGGGGGAAAACAGTTAAATTTCTGATCATTCTTGAAGAATCCGGAACAGTCTGTAGAGCTGTTGAATGCTGAGAGGAATCAGAATCACTAGTGCTATTTTATGTGACATATTCGCGATTGCAGTGTAATGCACAATTATCAAAAGGCCGTTTGATAATCATGTTCGAATTCCTAATTCAGCACAAGTAAAAAAAAGAATTCATATAATATTGTTTATTTCTTAATTTTTACATTGAAAGAAAATGTATTTGCTTAACTTGTAGATGCATTAGGTATATTTTTGGAACAAGAGAGATGAAAAATTAACAAACGCCTTCGCCAGGAATCGAACCACGGACCTCTGGAATACCGGCCCAGCCTGCAGAACCACTACACCACGAAGGCGCGCTAGGAAGGCGGGAGAAATACCTTACAAACTATGCTTCGAAATATGGCATTTAACTATTTTATTTAATTAATCTTCTTATGGAACATCTTCAGCCATTATCTTGTTTGAAGCTATCTCATAAGCAAGCTTTTATTTATTTATTTATTTATTTTGTATAAGCGTGGCCTAAATACAGGATCGTTTTGCAAAACTCTCGCCTAAACTCAACTCCTAATTTTTAAGATGTGACCATTATTCAATAAAAAATCAATAGAAAATTGTTGTCAATAAAAAAGAAAAGTCTTGTATCTTTGGGGGAAAAAATTCAATACTTTATATTAGTATCTGCAACTCATGCAGGATTATAAATTAAAATAAGATATTAATCAGCAGGCCTCTATGGGTTGTAGGGCCAAATTAAGTTATATTAAAACTTCAGATACAAGTCTTTTGAACTCCTAACCTGATGAAGTCAAAGTATTCATTGCGCTTTGAATTTACTTACAGTCAGCTTCTAGAGCTGGAAGTTTTGCTCTATAGAGAAAGTACGGAACATTAGATTTTATTAAGAGGGTGGTTCGTAACATTTTTTACCTCAAGCACCGCTTTCACCATTGCTACATGATATTTCCTCCCTTTCCCAAATTCAAAAATATATGTACATTTATTTAAATTATGTTATTTTCCAATGTGTTTTATAAATTAAACGTGAAAGAATATAGGAAGTGCTGATATATACCATGAGTATAATAAAAGTAGTTTTTTATATTCATAACTAAATACTTAACAGGTAAATAAATTGCATTCCACCCCCGTAAACTACGAAAATCCCCTCGATGGAGAACCCTGCACCCATTCTGTAAGACTTATATAATTTTCTACTTAATTTTGCGAAACTCTTTAATTGAAAGGTAATGTCTATTACCGTTGGAAGAAATGCCTGTAGTCAAATTTTTGGATGTACAGTGTTTCTTGTACTATTTAAAGGTCATTAATGAGTAAAATAAATTCTGTTATTATCAGTTGCAGTTTTAGGAAACTGTAAAGTGTAAAAAAATTTCTTCATCTGCAACCAATTGTGGCAGTGTGCCAATATGTAGTTTTGTTTTATAGTGGTTAATATATTCAGTTAGGAGACTGGAAAATTTGTGGCTGGTTTTCCGGAAAGAACACAGCTGACGATTCCGCTTGTGAAGGGGAAAAATGGCTCTATAGTTTATATTTTTAACTCCAAATTTTTTTCATGGCATCACTTAATTGTATAATTATCCATTACAATTTAGTGATTTAATTAGATTATGCTTGTCGAAACTCCTTCCTCGAAATTACATCTTATCTCCATGCTCTGCAGTGGTGCTTAAGTTAAATGTGGTGTCCTCTCTTCTTGCATTTGGCTGATTACTTGTTCCCGCTCTTCAGTCACCCTTTTAGTGGTGGACAATAAAAAATGTTACGAATTGCGGAGTTCCTTTTATACGTGTCCTTGTTATTTAGTTTTTAAGACGTTCAGCTTCTAATAAGTAGTCATGGTTTTAGTTCAAAATTGATTTTTACGTTTCCCTTTCAAAATTATTCTAATAGTTTACAGAGTATCAGTATATAGTGTTAACTAATTAGTTATTTAAACTACGTCCTTTCTCTCCCTTTTTTTTTTCGTTTTTACTTTCTTTCTCTCTCATTAACTTTTTGACTAAAATCCTTTTTGTTTCTCCTTTAAAAAAATAATAAAATTAATTACCTTTTCTCTCTCACAAACATTCTTATAATCTGTACGGCTTTAAAATATTGATTAAATTACGTTTAACTAATAATATATTTTTTCAAAAATTTATTACCTCTTCTCACTCAGCTAAATTCTTATAGTCTGTACAGTTTTAGTTAATTAAATATTATTTAAACTACGGTTGAAAGTAACAGATATTAAATGAAAAAGATAATAAAGCAAAGCTTGTAATGTGTTTTCTTCTCTTTCAAGGTCGGTTGCAAGGAGAGACTTCTGGAATGGTTTTACACTAACAAATACATATGGATCAGCACCCTAGGCGGTGTCCTCTTATTTCAGGTATTTATCTGGGTTTGTTTTTTAATTGACTCACATCCACAATTTTTATTTTGTCTGTTTGTATGGTATATCAAAATTATTTCTGCAAACGTAACTAAGTTTGCTTAAGTTTATCTAAGCTTATCGTGATTTTATAATATGTAAAACGTAAAAACTGTTTAATACATTTAATTTATTGGGACTTTCTCGTAAGTTGGTATTCGTTGATAGCTTTTAACTTGTCGCTGTCGAGTTTTTTTTTTTTTTTTTCTGTTTGTATAGGAACTCAGCGAACTTAGAAAACAAGTCACTTTTCTAGAGCAAACCATTATTATGCTTAGTTAATAAACTGTATTTACGTTTTATGAGCTTTAACGTATGCTAAACAATTATTACTAAGGACGGAAACAGCGTTGTAATAAATGGCGATGAAAAAGCAAAATATTTAAAAAATATAAATTTTTCATTGAATAATAATGAAAGTTATCATGATGGTTTCCGATATGATCGTTATTGAAAAAAAAAAGCAGTGTAATTATTTATATCAAACCCTGCTGACACCAATCATATTACTCCACTCCTTAAACTCATCGCATATTCTCAACTCTTCCCCATTCTGTTATTTTGTCTTTCTTCCTAACTTTTCTCGTAAATCGAGTTTTAATTTCTGTCTTTAGTTTAGTATGGTGAAATTATATATTATTTCAATTCAAAACTCGGTGTTTTATTGCGGTGCAGCAGTATTTCAACTTAGGTTTGAAGTACTGGCCTAAACCTCATAAATAGTTAGTAAATTCATCAATTCATTCATTTTCCTCTTTCTTTCTTGCAAATACTGATAGCGAAAATAACTACGATCCGTTAATAATGTTATATTTTGGTTTCGAAATATGTGTTATTCCTGTATTTATAAGAAATAAAGTGATTTGTCTTTGTTTTATTATATTTTTATTACTCATTGTAGTCTGATTTATTACAATTTTGTAGTATTAAAATAATAAAATAAGGTACTTTGCGAGAATATTGAAGGGGGGTCTTAAGGTAGAAAACGAATTGGAAGCCGCTTTTTTTTTTTTTTTTTGATAAAACAGTAAAGGATAAAATTTGAATGTGTCACAATTTGGCAACATTCCTGTCATTAGCCTGGTGAATCATTGGTTACAAATTAGCCCTGGCACCTTAGAAGAAACAAAAAGACAGGACAGATTAAACATTAGACATTAATGTGTTAATTAAAATATATCGTACATTTTGTGCTTTACAAATTCAAAGATGCAAAGTTTTTATTTCAAATAAATACTTTTTCTGTTTTTAATTCTTCTGCATCTTTTCATTTCCACATTATCGTATTTTAGAAACTGCGTTAGTAACAACAAACTAAACTTCAATCCGCTTGAAAATTAAACTAGCATCTAAAAGTGAGTGCTATGTTTATAAAAATGTTTAAAGTTTTTCAGAAGTCACAATAAGTCGGAGGAAAAGATCATGAAATGAAATATAAGCAAAAATTTTACAACGAAATAAAAGTTAGCCAGGATTATGACAGCAGAACTTACAGTGACTGACAATACTGTCTAAACAAAATATCTAAAAGTCCTGCAGCACTGTATTTTTCTTTCTTCAAAAATGGATGTGCTTTATTTTTCGTAAGGCTATACAATAAATGCCAGTCAACAGCAGTTTTTTTTTCTTTTCAAAACATTTGCACTCATGACCAGTGGTGAGCTATGGAAGTTTTAAGAAATTAAATTTAACAGGTTATCTTAGAGAAGCAAAGCATTAAATTAAGTACTTTACGTTTTACAAATGCTGAAAATAAAAATAAGTGTGCTTGAATAAAAAATCATTTTAAAATTTAAAAAAATCTAAAAAATTAAACAAAAAGTGTCCACAATATATAACAATAAAATAATGAATAAATTTGGTTAACGAGCACAGTTTATGCCAGAAGCTGCTATAGATTATTTTTTCCTTCATTTACTTCATTTAGTCTTTTAAGATGTTCTAAGACAGTGATGATTTTTATGAAAAGGGTCTTGCGTAAGGGATAAGTTCTCTTAAAAGTTGTTTAAGTAGATTATCATTGAATCTGAAACATATTGTATAGTCGAAGAAGATCATCTTCTGATAAAACAATTTAATATCCAACTATAAATTAACTGAAAATAGACGACATTTTTCAACATTTGTTTAAATTTTAAGTTACCATCAACTCGTTTGACGGAACTTAAAGTAGGATACCAGAGCAGATCTCAATTCTCATGAAGACAGAAATTAACGTAAGTATAATTATGATATGCAAGACATATATTTTTGGAATGAATAAACAGGCAAAAAATAAAATAAAATAAATAAATAATTAATTAATTAATAATAAGAGGCTTGCATGAACCTCAATGAGCTGCCTAAAGCTCATCACTGCTCATGACTTATTTGAATCAAATCAAGTTTTCCAACTATTTCGCTCTGATTTTCTATTCTCACATTTAAGTTAAGTTGTGATGATTAATAAAAATTATAAAATTATAACACAGTTATTTCAAGATTTATGGAATTTATTAAAAGACATAAAAATAACTTTTGTAAATAAATTACATCAAAGCAGTGGTAGAGGGGCCAATGTTCATTAATTAAGAAAAATTCTTTTCTCTTAGCGCATTATGGTCATTTGGGAATTATTTTTATTGCTGACAAAACTACTGATTTATTAAAATTCTCCTGAAGCTTGTATTTAGTAAGTTGACACCTTTGAGAAATAATCGATGTTGATTGCGTCTGTTTTGGATTACAGGTTTTTCAAAGGAAAGGAATATTTTAACTTACTCTGTTTCATTTGTTTCAGGTTGCTAGTGTCCTCTTCGCAGTCTACCTCATCAATCAGCTTGGTCGGTCTCGGCGGTCGTCGTCCGAGTCCTTGGACATGGACATCGATCCACTCAGTCATCATCCCCAACCTTACTTTTGACTAGATCCGGCCTGGCAGGAATCTGCCGTCACTGGCTATCAGTACAGGCACAAGTATTGATGAAAACGAGATTCACGTTCTCCAAATGGGACCAAGACTCAAGAAAATGGACGTCTTGAAAGCATCACCAGTGCCCAGCCGCTTTCTTTAACAGAATGGCAAATGCAAGATTCAGTGGACGACGAATGTTCGTTTTTGCAAAATTTCATATATTACTTTTTGCTATGAAATGATCCAGATATCAGGATTGAATTCGTTTAGTCTTAAAATACGTCGTTCTTGTTTAATTTCTAGGATTATTTGCTGCTGAAAAAGTGACGGCTGGACACGAAAATGGCATACGCTTCTAAATGTGTATTGCATTTTGATACGGATATGAAACTTGGTCAAAGTATCATTTTTCTGCATGTCTCCTTATTCAGATTTTCACGAATAGGTTTAACGTTATTTTAGGTAAAGTTGTTCTAAGCAGTATATAAGGTCTAATGATGTCATTGAAACAACCAGCAAGGTAAAAACAGTGCTTTGAAAATAGTCATATCATAGTCTGAACAAGGGAATAAGAACTGAACTTCTCCCTCGTTAGTTAGAAGGCAGTAATTATGTGGTATGAAAAGCACGAGAGTGTGCCAGAAAAAGTTTTATTCTGCGGAAATAAAAATATGACAATTATAACTTTCAAATGGGATTTTATTCGACCCTGAAGTAGTGGTATTTTTATGAAATGAATTTGGAATATTTGCATTTTAAAAGTCTTCTTTTTTCGTACATTTATCTCATACTGTCAGATTTTACTAGCTTTGATCTGCATGCTGGAAAATATCTTAATAGTGATATATGACCTAACATGATAGACACTTCTATGATAAAATGTGTAATTATATATCGCCTGTGATATGATGTAGTGAAGCATCGCGATTAGACACTATACTGTGAAGAATCTGTGTACAATAAACATAGATCATAGATAATCTTCATCTGTTAATTTGATTAACAAAATTTCTTTTGATTTTACGATTGATAACCTAATTCTGGTAAGCAATTGATAGCTTTATTCCATCTTCTATCCTACTGACAATGTAAAGAAACAAGAAAAAATTATTTAGGATCCTTTTCATATAAGGCTAAACATAAACATAACTAATTCTAACTCTTCCATTTTAAAGTTATTAGTTAGTTAACCAAGAATTTCCTGTACTTCAGACAACTTATCATCTTCGCAATTTAACTTGAGATCTAAAGTTCTAAGGAGCACAGATAAGAGGTACACACAGGTAATCAAACTAAAAGTTTATCCACGCTGCACTTTGAAAATGCATATTAAAATTGACAAAACGTATCTATCACTACACGGGACACATTGAGTATCTGCACAGCTCGGTTTCAGTTACTAACGACCACTAAGCATAGAAGGTGACAAGGTCAGTTAGATGGATAGGAAAAAGAAAAGATATCCTGGTACACTGCTAAAAATTTTTCTTTAAATTATACATTCACTTGCTATTTAAACGTCGCCCTAATATGCATTCTGGTGAGGCTGATGCAGAAATAGAAGTAACAGGAAAGAATTAATATAAAAAATAACGTATTGTTTAAAGTAACATTTTCAAAACAAAAGCATGAGGAAAAATTTAAACCTTATGAATTAATTAAAAAAGCCAAATGTTTGTAAGAAATAGTAAAAGGTTATAAAACATAATATTTATAATTCTGAAAAGAAGCAATGAAATTTTCATTGTTTATGTAATTAGAAAAATCTATGTGTTTGGATCTAAATATAATCAGATGGTACCATTTGGGAGATATTTCTCAAAAAACTAGGAATATTCAGCCTTTCTCAGAAATATTACTGTCTGCGTATTTAAACTCCAGATTCAGCAATTGTTAAATTTGAATGGGATTTCAGTAATATTCAATGAAACAGTAACATTACAGAATAAGTAAATGGCATTAGTTAATTTCTTGTGGATGATAAATTATAATTGATACATAGAAATTAAGGAAGTTATGTTATATGATGCCACGCTTCTCAACATTGTAAATTCAAAAATCTAAAGATTTATAAGAAAGCATTAAGCAATTTATATAGAGAAAACCAAATATATTCGAATATTTCGAAACACTTACCGGAAAAAAGAAAACACTTATCACACAAAATGGAAAACTAGGCAAGAGAAATTAATATTTAAATAATTTTAATAGCTTTCTTGCTTTGTTAAAAAGAGATTTTGAAATTCTACTTTAAGATATTTATTATGTTGTTCAAATTTTAGAATAAGGATGTTCGAATATCGGCAAAATAGAAAGTAAGGGCATTTCGAAAGAGGACAAGGGAAAACAAAAATAATGAATTTTAATTTTATTTTCCTAAAATGTGATATTAATATATAACATTATGTGATTGCTATCATAATAACTTCATTTGATGTATTAAAATAACTGTCAAGAAAATAGCAAACCTTCGAATCAAAATTTTTATGTCCAAATCAATCCTAAAATTGCCAACATGTGGATATGAGCCAATTTTATCCACATTTTGGCGACGCATAGTAAATATATTCACATATTAAAAATGCAAGGAACTTGCTCTTGATGTAACAAAGAGGGCAAAAATCTGAAAGGCTGCTAAGAATTCGTTCTTTAAATACAAATTAAGCGACAAATCTTTAAACTGGCGCAATTTTTGGCGCTTTTACAAAATTTTACGTGTGAGATAATAAAACTAAAACAATTTTCCCAAAAATTATGAAAAATTCTTAAAAGTTATCTAATATATAATGCATTGTTTAGCTAAATTTAGTTTTAGACACTGGGAAGCATCTACACCAGATAACCAAGTTTCACTGTCTCCTAACTTGCACTTCTTCTCATATTAATTTGATATTTTAGAAGCTAATAATTATATTACTCATATTCCTCATATCGTTCGAAGATTTTGTAAATCGAATTTCTTTGTAAATTATTGAGTGATCGTATTTTTTTAGTTAATTTCATCTTATGTTTTGTCATTTTAAATTCACTTCATATTTTCATTTTAAACTGAAATTTTCAAGCTATATACTTATACTTTCATTACAAATTATTCCTGCATTTTTTAGAAATTACTGAAATAAGGCTTCTTCCGATGCAAAATGACTATTTTAGAGAAAAAAAAAACATATTGTAGATTTTAATTGAACTTCAAATTCATCTCAATTTCTTTTACTTGCCAAAGAACAAATGTAAATAGATATTTTTAGATAGATTTAGAAGTATATATTCTTCTTTACATATATGCATAAAAGTTGAATATTTTTCACATGCAAAGAAGGAAAATAAAAGCGCATATATGTGTAAATTCAGATGTTCTTTAGTTTATCTTTTGACAGTTGTATTCAATTGTATTCTAGTACAACAATGGATTTATTTTCCTGCTTTCATTTCAAAATTTATGGATCATAGATTAAAAGTAAATGTTCTTAGTTGTACATTGGTTAATTTCTCAATAGAAAATCAAGATTCTTCGAAACGAATGGTAAAAAATATCAAGATATTACTCAAAGAATAACAAGTCTGTATTTTGTAAGACCGATTTTATCCGAGTTGTCTTGCAAATTTTGTATATAATGGTGTGCAATATTTATATGTAATAAACACATCTCTTAAACTGACTTTGACTCTTTATTTACACCAAGATGGGAGAGCTTTACAAAACTGGAAGCACAGAGGAAAATTATTATACAAGCCCTTAATTATTTTGAATGTAACAGATTTTACTGCTATGCATTATATTTCATGAAATAATCTAATAATTAAAATACATTTAAAATTATTTAAACTAAAAATACAGGTTGACGCACAAAATTTGCTTTGTTTATGACACATTTATTTATCATCGAAATTTTATAAAATTAATGCATAGTTAACTGCTTGAACATGAAAAGTGATTTTACCTTTGCATTTGTCAAAGTACACCTTTGCATTTGTCAAAGTACACGTCTTCAGAAATTGCACGACACAGCTTCTCGAAAAGAGCCTTGAGTTGCATTACATTTAAAAGGTACCACCAAAATATACATGAAAATGTATTCGTGTCGCCATTAATCTCTTTGTTTCTCAAAAATAAATAAATAAAATTACTACTTTAACCCTCTATTCAGCATTCAACGGGTCCTTATCAGCCATCTTGCAAAGTATTGTTTCGCGACAAATTAGAATTTGTTACTGACATTTGAAATCTAACGGATTCTTCATGAACAGAAGCGACCGAATATCCATTTTTAACATTCAACATACAACATAAAAAATTATGGTGTGATTTAATTGTATAGCATGTTATGCGCCATTGTGTAGATTTCTGTCTTTCGTATGCTTTGTTTTCACACTTTTGGCTTACGTTGTACAAAATATAAACTGATGAATCTGAGAAACCATTTTCTTGTTTTTCTAAATGAAACTGGAAAAACAGAAGATCTGAAAAATACTTATTGATTACAAATCTTAACTAATGTAATTAAACTCTTTAAATTTTTTTTTTGAAAAATCCTTATTGATTACAAATCTTAACTAATGTAATTAAACTCTTTAAATTTTTTTGTACAGATTTAGCTAGAAGAAGCTGTTTCTTCTGATAGGGTTCGAAAGGGAACTTGTTAAAAATTTACAGTAATTGAATAATCTAGATTGTTAATGAAAGAACAAAATTTTTGACTAGTATTGAAAAAATAAGTCATTGAAAACTATAATATGAAGTTTAAAATTTTTCTACCTTCTAATTTTATCTTTCAAAACTTAATTGAAAAACACAAAAAAATTTACATATTTTAAACAGTATAGGATTATATCAGCCCATAGCAAATGCCTCGTTTGCTATATATCAGGCCTTGGTTGCGCGGTTCTCCTGGTACTCTGGCGTCAGATTTTATTTTTCTTAATTACGTTATTATCTTTTTATACTCGCCAACACCAAAAGAAAAAACTTTATCTGTCGAGAATTACAGAGCATCAATATTAGGGCTTATTCAAAGCAGAAGAAAATCTTTTAAATATACGTAAATTACATACTCATAACCAAATAAATGAAAACAAATGGCAATATAATTGAGATACATTTAGCGCCAAGAGAAATGTACAATTCTTTATGTATTCATAAGGCCTGTAGTTAAAATATTTAGCCTGTAGTTAAAATGAAGAAAGCGGGACCATTTTTTTGGTGATAACGGGCGATGTGATACTCGTTCATTAATATCGGATAGAAATAGGCCCCTGGTAAGATAACAGCATAATGGGGTATCATCTTATCACGGATTCATCTTATCACGAGCATTTAACGAGCTGAAGCGTCACTTGGAAACAAAATAGTAGCCGTATGAATTTCTTAAGGGGACTCGTACACCTTAAGCCCCTCATAATCTTCGAATATGTGACTGTTGCAAGAATTGGGATATTTTATTTATTTAAAAGCAATTACTTCCAATTTTTTAGAGCTGACTACATAGTATAGCTGCTTTGGAAACTAGTAACCAGAAAGTTTGTGTTGCCAGAAATATTTTTGTAATTTAATCCTCTTTGTGACAAAATATTTCGCCGTGTTTCCACCTTGCGCGCATGATATTTTAAAAATGCCTAATGGTACATACTTGAAATTTAATGCAATTCTTTATATCGGCACTATTTTCTAACTGAACCAACAATCTGATGAATATTTTATTATTGATAAATTTTTATGGACGAAAACATTAAATTTTTTTTTAATAAAATACATTTTATAAACTCAACTCAAATAAAAATTTAACATGAAATTTTTAGAATTTTAGGTCCACAGTCGTTTCCAAATGTTATAAAAGCTATATATTAAATATGGAATTAAATTATGAAACGGAATGTTTTAAACTGTGCGCGCAAGTCGGAAACATGACGAAAAATGTTGTCACAAAATGGATTAAATTATAAAAATATTTGTGGCAACACAAACTTTCTGATTACTGTTTCAGAAAGCAGCTATATTATGTAGTCAGCTGTAAAAAGTTGGTAGTAATTGCTTGTAAAATAAATAAGTTATCCCAATTCTTGCAACAGTCATCTATTCGAACATTTTATGGGTTTTAAGGTGTACGAGTCCCCTTAAATTAAGTGAGTATTGTTTTTTATGTAAAAACTTTTAGATTCTGTTAACAGAAACTCCATCCTGGTTTTCTTGTCTCATGTCACGATTTTCACTTAGACCAGACAGTTTTTCAAATTTAAACTTATAGTACTTTAGAGTCACCTTAAATCAAAATTTCATATCCAAAGATCCCGCTAATAGGATAAAGGGAAAAGCATACAGTATTGCCATCAAATTGAAGCCGATAGAGGCTAATTTCCAGCTGGACTTATATAACAAGAGGCAGATGTACATTGCTGTGATCCACGCTATCATTACTTACGCATCTCCAGTTTCGGCATTCGTTACAGAGGTTCTTCTACTATTAATCTTGCAAACACAAGTTTATAAGAGCTATCACCGTTGCTGCATTTCTAATGAGAAACTCTGCGCTTTAGCATGATCTTGAGCCGACATAATAATGAATAGTTTTTCATGTAAGCCAGGATCTGCAGAGTTCTCATCTCTTAACTGCTTTGTAATTTTGGAAGTTTATCAACTTAGGACTTAACACTATGTATATTCTCAGAGGACGTATGATAAATTGAATTCTTGCATGTATGTTCTTCAAGTTTTTCCTCAAACTACCCCAGGATATTAATTTGGTCCACTGACTGTTTTGAATACTTCAACTTTCTTCCTTCTCTAGTTAATGCTTTCCTATATTTCTCAGAAACATCTTTCAGTATCCTTTCACCATCAGGCCTTACATGGCATTATTGTTATCTTCACTAGTAAGTGCTTTTAGCGGAACGCTTGTATAATTTAATAGCTGTATCAAGGTATTAAAAGTAATGCAAGTATGCGATAATTGTTCAAAGGTTAAAAAGATATGATTTTTGAAAAAAAAATATAAAAGTATCTGATTTCTGAATTAATGCAATTAGTCCCAGAACTATTAGTATTTAGAATTAGTCCCAGAACTAGGCAAGAAAAGAAAATTAAGATTTACCCTGATTTTAGTTAAAATGCATTTTTGCAATAGTTTAGACAATGGATTAAGATGGCGAGCCGATAATAGGTTGTGAGCTTCAAGTGGAAATTGCTAGTGTGCGTCTCTAATTCAGGTATTTAAGTTATGGGACCAATTCTAAATTGTGGGTATCCCCACAAGGAGGTAAACTATGGCTGTTCAAGAACCACGACACCTTAGAAAGATCTGTATGCGGTGTTAAATGTCCGACACCATCCAGTGATATCGGCTAGAGACCTGTCTAGGGATTTCTATGCTGTATATGGAACAACAATTTTCAAGCAAACTGTATGTAGATGCCTAACAGAGAACGCTAATTATGACCGGTAGCTAGCGGTATGCATTCCCTTCAACTGATCACGAAAGAATCTAGTCCCATGCTCTCTACAGGTGAGAGTGATTTCGACAATCCCCTGTAGAGGGCCTGGGACTTGCTATCATCCCTTCGAACTTAGAAAAATCAACCGCTTTGTTGGAAGGAGAATTCTTATGTGAAGGCACCATGTTGAATGTCAGGATACCACAGCAGGACTTCGACATGGTGGCCACACAGCCTCATAAGGATGAAGCTCATAATCTTATTCAAGGGTTTTTCCCAAGGAGCTCTTGGAAAGAACTTTATTGATAATAATTCAAGGTCGTACAGAGTTCAAGTAGTCGATGATTCTTCGAGAAAGGAGGTATTTACCATACGGTGTAGATAGCAAAATTAGACTTAAATCTCATAAATGTTTCGCAGTTTAACTATTTCAATTAGTGGGAGGTATTTCCAGGTACTAAAATAATGCATATAAAGTGGAATTAAAAAAAGAAATGGCACGAATGCGAAAAGAGAACTGCGAATTATTTTAAAACTCATAAAATACAACAATGTTAGACTCTTTATAAACGATTATTCTATGAATGAAATAGGTGACACTTGAAATTTAGACGCGCATATTTAATGGTACAGATGTTTGCAAAAATTGCAGATTTATCATAAATCAAATAACTTATAAGGTATTTCTCCCGCCTTCTTAGCATGTCTTCGTGGTTTAGTGGACAGCACGCTCGGCGCTTATTCGAGAGGTCCGTGGTTCGAGTTCCGGCTAGGGCATTGCTCATTTTTCACTTATCCTGCCTTCAAAAAAATAACCTAATATCTCTACAGTGTGATAGTCTTCAAACTAAAAGGTGGTGAATGATGATTCTTCAGGATTTGGCGATTGGGTCCCCTAATCCCCAGTAGCCCTTTAAAAGGAGGAATAAATAAGGTATTTGTCCCGTCTTCTTAGCATGCCTTCGCGGTGTAGTGGTCAGCACGCTTGACGCGTATTCGAGAGGTCCGTGTTTCGAGTCTCTGCGAGGGTATTAGTCATTTTTCATCTCTCCTGCTTCATAGATACCTAATGTCTCTAGAAACTTAGATTGAATTCTTCTTCCAATAACGGGCACTTGCCCATAATGGCATTGGCCACTACTAATGCCAGATGTAGGAATCATTTTGTTGTGGAGGCACCTAATATTAGGCCAATACTACCACCTATGAAGAAACAGACAATTTTACATCCATG